GCAGTTAATTTTTCGTCTCTGATACTACCTGGATTTTACTAAAAACAAAATAATTTCCATGCTTGAGGATGACTGTACATTGAATATTGCTGCCACATCTGGTCTGGTACTCATGTTATATATTTAAAGATTCTTGATAAAATCCCAAAAAGAATCTGAAATGTTATTGATCTTGACCTGGCATCTTGCTTTCAGTCACCTTCTCACCAGCATAATGTAGGTTCCCTGTGTCTTTTCTATAAATACTTTTGTGATAATTGTTCTGATGTACTTTCCTTTATGGTACTGAGATTTTATGAATTTAAGCATAGTACTAAATTGGTGGTATGGTCTCATTTTTTTTATAGTTGAAATGGCTAGATGTAGCCATAAGTTCTATGCTAACAATTCCTTCTGTCATACTTCTTGCTTGTGGAACTCTTTCAGCTTCTTGCTTTCCAGTCAACTGTAATCTTCAAAAATTTAAATGCAATGTCAATTCATTATCTTCTGTCTTAATTCTTCTTTTTTAATGTTCTCTGTCCTCATTAGTGTTTTTTTTTTTTTTCTCATATTCTCTAACATTTAGTAACCCCCTGTGTCTTAGTGGCGTTATTGCCTTTCTTGGGGTGAAATGATAAAAAAATAACTCACAGAAAGTTGGGAACAGCAATATATACAGGTCACTGAACAAATGGCTGGTTAAGAAAACCAGGTATTAATCCTGTGTTCACACATATGAGGGGATGCTAAAAAATTATTTTAAAGGATATTTCCTCACTCACTACAATCTTAACTTCTTCAAGCCTAGGGTCAACTACATATAATGTGTACCTTGTTACTCCCTCCTTGTCTGCCCTTACAACCACTTTGTTTAGTAGCCCTCTACCTAGAGTGGCTCTTGGGCCTTGTATTGGGTGTGCAATAGTATTAAAAAAAAAAGAAAAAAATGCTTCCCAAAATCTGACCTTTTGATCAAGCTTTTTTTTTTTTTTTTTTGCTTTTTTTGTAATCTCTTCTCGGTTAGGCTGATAAATTTTCAGCACCTGCATGTACATGTAAATGTGCTCACATTAATTCGTACGTATACTAATCTCTATATTCGTATGCATTAGAAAATGTGAGTGCTAGAGGAACCCTGTATATTTATCCTGTGTGTACACACAAACATACACGCTCACTCTTTGTTTCTCTCAGAGATGAGGAAGCGAGAGTAGTGGAGAAACCCTAAGTATTGATCTGGGGCATGAATGCCACTGCATCCACAAGCAGATGCTAAATATAAATTCCAATAGACATTTCTACACAAATGGTGTTCTTAAATGGTAGCAAGCATCATGTCTTTCTCTACTGCTACAAGATGGTATTTAAATGCAGGTAAGGTTAGGTTTTCGATTTCATAACTTCACATTCCTTTACTCAAAAAATTATTTCAGTTCCAAGTCCAGAGAAGTGAGAAACTTTAATCCAATGCCCAGATATTCCTAACTATTGCCTCAGGTACCCCTTATTTGTTTTGCTTTCACTCACCTAATAGCCTAACTTAATATACAGACTACTCTGTTAATTAATGCTAAAAGCATTCTATGATTTCTGAACTTGTAAAATATACAGTAGCCAGAAAATTGTTTACTTGAGTGGGATGGAGAAAGTTTGATGTTTATTAGGTATCCTATTATTTTACTTTGAGACAGACTAAAGTGGATTTAGTAAATAACCCTAATTCTGTAGATACAATGGATGTACACACACTCTAAGATGTGGGGGGTCATAAATGTATACACTTAAAACACACACACACACATATATATATATATATATATATATATATATATATATATATATATATATTTAGGCAGCATATCTTCATTCAAATATGTTTCATTAAATAATATAGACATATTATGTCTATTTATTTTATAATAACCTTTTCCAGTTCTCTTAACATGAAGAAGAGAATTAAAAAGGATTATTATGAAAATAGACATATGTCTATATTATTCAATAAAACATGTTTGATATATATATATATATATATATATATATATATATATATATATCTGATAGCTTCGGGGTAAAATCTCCAACTGATGCTAAATCAGTTGGGTTTCGATCCTGGCTTGAGGCAATTGGATGTCTAGCCACACTGATGAGCTGTGATACAGTGAAACAATCTGTTTGTGGATGACTATACACACACACAATATATATATATATATATATATATATATATAGTTATTCAATCATAACTTAAAAGAATTTATCTAAACTTAATATAAAATTTGTTAAAAATACTTCTAAAACAATGTGACTTAATACAAAACAAATTAATAATAACCTGTAATAATTGTCACGAAAAAATACATCAAGGAATTTAAATAAAAGATTATATGAGCATAAAAAGATATTTTACAAAACAATGCATTAGTCATTCATTGTAATAAATTTGAATATAATTTTGCTTTTAAAAAATTCTGCTTTAATTCAGAATAATTTACTAAGGTGAAAGAATTCAGAAAGTGGATTGATTTCTGAGCAGAATTTGCATCCAGATTCTTACAACATTTTACCTTTCTTAGTAAATCTTCTGTTGTTGCAGTATGGGATATTTAAACAGTGGTAAAAAAAAAATGCGGTAAAAACAAAGGTGTTGGAAAACCACATAAAATTGCCGAAGCTGCTGCATCCAGACATGTTGTCCACCAGAAATTTTTAAATTTACTATCCCTACATCTTCAGTACTTCTTGGTACCTAATTATAACCAATATTTTCATTTATACATGCACACATTTCTATCAATAACATTTTAATCTGATGAAGTCCATTTAATAGATGAAATGCATTTCATAGAACTTTTTCCATTTTGTCATTCAATTACCCAACATTGTTCTGGTATATAGAAATTTACATATCATATTCTGCCTCAATTTATTTACTCAGACACAAGTGCAGATGTAGTAACTTTTATATTCCCACATATTTGTTTTAAATAATTTTACAGGGATATATGAATAAAAATTCATGTTTACAGTAAAAACCTATGTACTGTTTTTCTAACATCTATAAATTCTGTAAAACAATAGTGTTAGTCTCACAAGTAAATTTTATTCTTATTGAGTGCTCTATTAAACTGACCTTGTACCAAATTTGACCCCACTCAACAAATATATACTCTGCCTTATAAACTTCTAGATGTATATTCCATATATTTAAGTTTAGCTTCTTTAGGTAGAAATCCAAGAAAAGTACTAAAAGGAATGCATATTGTTTCTTATTGCAGACATCAGGGAATGCCATGATACGTTTTTTTGTTGTTGCAATGAAAGGGTAATGTGTCGGAGAATGATAGTGTTCACGTTATTTTTAACATACCATTCGAGTGTCTTAGAAAGTAAGATGCTTGGTCTACACACACATTTACTATTTCTATATATTTCTTAAAAAAGAAAAGAGAAAAACACACAAATACAATATCTTTATATGCTTAGATTTTTTTCAAATATGCATATTTATATATGTTCCTCATATAAAAGTAGACAATAAATTTTTCTGCCACTTTTAAGATAAATTCATAAGAGACATGTATGCATAAATGCTCCAAATAAGCTTGATTACATTTAAAAGGTACCAAGGATAAAAGCTCCCAGTTTCAGGACTTTCTCACCCCATGGAGGAACCCCTCCCTGACTGACCATCAGCGGTATAACTGTACTCCCTACACTTGTTCAATTGTGGATTGGTGAGGCTATTTAATGTATAGTTGGAGGTTTTAAATTCAGAGTTGTCCATCTCCTAGACTGGTTGCAACCCAAGGCTATAGGACTGCTATCTACTCATAGCTGGGAGAGAAGATTCATCAACTATAAAAATTCATTAACTATAAAAATTTGTAAATTTTGACCTAATCACACAGAAATTTGTGGTCACATACTCAAATACATTTACTTGTACAGTGTAACCCGGATATAAGAGAGTTGTCGGGACCGGAGAAGAAGTCTCTTATATCCGGGTTTCTCTTATATCCGGGTTTGGTCTATTTTGTTTAGGTAACACAGGCTCTAATTTGGGACCAGAGAAAATCTCTCTTATATCCGGGTTACACTGTACATACAAACTGTAACTGTCTCTCTGTTTAAATCTCATTGAATTATGTTTGAAATACTTAGACCAAATAGAGAGAAGGAAAGTAAATTTATTTTTTGTTTTCTGATTGTCTTTTACATATTTTTTCCTTATTTGTTTGTGAAATTTTTAATAATATAGAAATGTAATCTAGAATGTTCTTTATCATTTTTTTTTCTAAAATACATACAAACATAATATGCAGATGAAAATATTTCATCAAGTCTAGGAAATACATTCAGAAGATTTGATATAGATATATACCAGTTATTCTGATAAGTTTTATTCTCTAATTTGCATAAAGCATTGAATACTGTTCTACTTAAATATATGTGTATGTATACATATACAAACTTTTATATATAATTATAAAATGATCAGCTATTTATGTAGCAAATTAGTTCTTATGATATATTTAGTAGATATGCATGTTTGAGTCTATGTCCCTGTGTAACTGACATCTACCAGCCTGGGCATTTGAGAGTCTTAAAACTTAATACAGAAAATATGCCTTTCAGCAGGGTTCAAACCAGCATCCTCCTTATATTGGGGAAACCAACCTTGAGCCAGGTGTGTTTTAAACTACTCATCCACAAAAGACTTTACAGCAAGGTGAAGTTTATTTGACCTTTTTAATTTTATCCTTTCTTGAAATGAGTAATTTAATCTTGCTTTGCTGCAAAGCCATGGTTGAGTGAACTAAAGCATTCCTACATAGAAGGTGGTTGTCCCAATATAAGAAAGGGGTGGATGCAGGTTCAAACCCAGCCAAAAACAAATTTTCTGTATGAAGACTCTCAAATGACCAGGTTGGTAGATATAAATTACACCCTTAAGTAAAAAAAAAAAGGGATGTCTACTCAAACATGTGTATCCAATAAATATAGTATTTATAGGCTTACAGCCATATCATGTTGAAACACAGGTTCTGTTCTTGTACAATCACCAAGGTTAAGCAATGTTGAGCCTGGTCAGTACCTAGATGGATGACTGCTTGGGAATACTAGGTGCTGTAAGCTTGAATGTGCAGGTGGTGGAATGGGCGATAGTTTAGAATTGGAAGCCAGGGGGCTGAGTTCCAAATTCAGCTGGTTTCATTATATTCACTTACATGCAAATGCCTTTGGGAAAAGTATGAATCCACTTCTTCTCCCCCAGGTATGGGTTAATTAGTAAGTCTTGTATCCATGAATCATTATTATCTCCCCCAAATTCTTACAATCGAAAATATTTTCTGGCTTTAAATAACCTGAAAAGGGTTGAAAAAAAAACAAATCGATCAAGTATTTATAGTTATTAGAAATAATGTTGGATTATAAATAAAATCTATTAATTCCTTAGAAATGCCTAATTAGTGTATATTTTGTTTTGTATTTGATGACATATAATTCCCTACCTTTTTCCCCTTGAAAAAATTTCTGAAAAAATATCTTTTAGGTCTTAGTAAAGTTGAAGTATCTGGTAGACTAATGTTTGCAAAAGATTACCAATACTTGTACCACGTTTAACGCCATAATACTATAATACTAAATGTCAATAATGATGTGGTGGCCTTATATGCCAACAAGTATCATATATTGTATTTGTATTTGTAGGCTCAAAGTAGTGTAATAGTTATTAATATTGAACTGATAAATTATGTTCAAATTTTGACTAAGACAGCTTGCATTCATTGAATACTAATGCTATTAGTAAAAGTATGAACTTATATCTCTGTGCTTTATTCCATTGGCATGTCCACTGTAGGTCAACATTATGGAGCTACTATCTGGATTTTGAAGAATTCCCTAAAAATTGGGGGTTACATGCTTTTTTAAAATTGAATTTTGTTAAATTACTAGAGGCTCTGATCAACTCTGAATTGGTTAAGCATCTCACTTCACATGGCTTTCTTTCAGATAAGCAATAAGGCTTTTTTTCTCTAGGTCAACCACTAATGTGTTAATGTTTATTACTGAATTTGTCTATCAGGCTTTAGATAAGAACAAACTTTAGATATCTCAAAGGTATTTAACATTCTAGCCTTCTCTATAAACTCAAAAGTTATAATCCAATTATTATTTTCAATTCAGCTAGAAGGTTGTGTTGAATGATCATGCTTCTAGTTCATTTCACATTAATGAGGGTGGGTTACACAGGGTTCTATCCTTAGCCCTATTTTCCCTCTTATCTTCATAAATGACCTTACCAATGTCATCAGTTTCCAACTAGGTATTTATGCCAATAACACAAGTAGTAAGTAAGACTAGCAACTCCTCTCAAAAATGACCTCCACTCAGTTGTTAACTGCTATCCTTTAAATATATAGAGAACCATTTTTGCCCTTTATCAGCATGGCTGATGCTCACCTCCAGTAGAGCAACTCATTATGCCTTCTTGGTCTCACATTTTTTACTTACATGAAGTAAAGTAATTATGTTGAATCAATTGCTTGGTCTGCTACTAAGAATATTGATTCACTGTGTTGTGCCAGGCAGTTTTTCTTTCTACCTTGCATATTTCTAAATCTACCATTCATTTATGCATTGAATATTGCTTGCTATAACTGGTCTGGTGTTCATGTTACATATCTCAAGATTCTCAAAGAAGGGTCTGTAATGTTATCAGTCCTGATCTCAACTTCAGCCACTTTCCCACCACCTCCCTCTGTCTTTTCTATAAATATTTTCATGGCGATTGTTCTAATGAGATCTCCTCTCTCTCTACTAGTTCCAATCATTTTACTGTTGAAATAACTAGATGTACCTTAAATGTAATATCTAGTCTAATAGTTTCTTTTCTAGCACTTCTTACCTGTAGAACTATCTTCCATGCCACCTTCAATGTTCAAAAATACTATGTCAATCACCATCTTCTGTCTTCTCAAATTCCGTTCTTTTATTATCCTTTCTTATCACTCTTATCTTTTGTCTTCCACTCCCAATAAACTCTTCCCTCTTAGTGGCATTAAGTCTTTGCTTGAGTGATTGACCATTATATACATTCCTATTTTTTCCATCTCTTTTTGTTTGCCTTTATTTTTTTGAGCTCCCTATTTATTTTTCTACCTGCAATCTCAGTATTCATTGTTTGTATTCATTCACTCTTCCTTTTTTATCTCCTTTCTTTTCCTGTGCATATATAAGTATTTTTATGTATACATATTTCTCTACATACATTATATATATATATATATATATATATATATATATATATATATATATATATATATATATATACATGTATATATATATATATATGTATATATGTTAGATTTGTACTTCTGCTTCTTCAAGATTGAGAATATTTATGTTCTTGCCAGATATAGAAAGGATGAATGTGAGAAATCTGATCCATAATCCCTGCCCACCATCATATATTTTTGACCACTGGCTCGGATATACTTCTTTTGCTTCCTCTGCTAATATCTCCTGTTTTTCACTGAACATCTAGCCAAAGCAGGTTACGCAGCCATAGAGCATATTTAGCAGCATATATGACTTATGTTGAAATATTTAACATCATATATGACATACGTTGAAATATTTAGCAATATATAAGATATACAATGAAATATTTAGCAGCATATAAGAACATTTTTATTCTCACTGTTTATTTTTTGTTTTTTTAAAATCTGACTCTGCATCTTGAATGCTTAAAAATCTTCTCCAGTACAGAATAGTGGAAGTGTATGTTTTTCCTGTATATTTCATGTTAAAGTTTTAGAATGGGCAATATAGGTGTACAAAATATGTATAAAGTTTAATATGATGTATACATCGATGTATGAGTCAATGCAGAAATGTTGATCCACTTATTAAAAATCTGACTAAACATTACAATTATTTACACTATTTACATGTACATTGTACCCTTTTGGCCTTCATCAGGTGGATGCTAATCTGGGATACATGGAATTCTTTTACTAAAAAAAAAAGAAAGACAAATGACAAAAAGTTTTCAAGAGCAGCAGCATCTGTAACAAAAACGAAAATGCTTTCAGTGGTTGCAGGCAAGCAGCAGCAGCAGCACCCACCAGCAGGCAGATTAGATTTAAGGCTTCAATTTCTCCACTCAGGATTGTCCCATGGGATAATAGTGGATTAAAGTATTGGTTAATGAATTTGGTTATATAGTAATTGTAAATTCAAACTCTGGGTTGGGAAATGTGTACTTGGACTCAGTGGAAACAGAGTAAGCAATAACTGAGCAGCACTAAAAATAAGAATGAGACATACACAGGGGAATGAGAACAATCCACCTCTGTAGATTAAATAAAGGGTTCAGTTCAGAATTCTCTGTATCCTGAATCAGCATACAGCTAAACTGCTGAATTGTTGTGATAACAACAACAAAGGTGAAGACAATAGTCCACATGTAAATAGCATAAATAATAACTCCTCATCCCAGAAATTTTTGCTCAGGTTGGGAACAACACCAACAGATTTCTGTGTACATGTTATATACAGGTTGATTGAAAAGTAGCTCTCTATTTTATATATGAATGGCCATCCAGGAATCCTGACTTAACATTCTGTGACTTTTTTCTTTGGAATTGGTTAAAGGAGCAAGTCTACTATACCAAACCAAGATTTTGGAAGAACTTGAAGGATGAATACAAGAAGTTGTCTTCCATACTATGAGAGTTCCTGGTGAAATCAGTTGACGCGATTCCTGTGCAGCATGAGAAGCTGGTAGTGAAATATGGTGCCCATATCAATTTTTAAATAAATCCTCATACTAAACACTTTCCTCTCATATCCATTTCTTGTAAAAATTATAGTTAATAAATAAATTATAAGTATTTTAAAATGGGGAGTTACTTTTTGATCACTATTTGTTCATCATCATTTATTTGTCACCATTTCCAATTCTTCTTGGCAGTAATTGCAAAGCTCTTAGAGTTTGTATGGTTTTCATCAGTTCCCATTGCAATGTTTCAATAATATTTGTTTTGGCTAGTCTTCTAAAAGTTGAACATCTTCATTCACAAGAAGCCTTTTTGTTGCAAGTGATGTGTGGCAAGGATTACCATCATGCTGAAAAGCTTCTCCATCTTCATTGTCTGCCAGAAGATAAGTAAATTAATATAGTTTTTGCTGTTAAGGTTTCTATCAGATTTTTACCAATTTTCTTCTACCATTGCTTTTGATGCAACCTTACACCATTATGTGTCCATCGCCAGATTTTACCCTCTGGTGTATCTTGCATTTTTTTTCTCCCACTGGTCTTCTTAGATATTCTCTTGCATTAGAATGTAATTCTATTTTGTACTCATCACTAAAAATTACTTTTTGCCAATTTCCAGCATCATATATTAGATGTTCTTTGATCATTTCAATTTTCTATTCCAATATTTTTTGGATTAATGAATTTTTTTTTCTGCTTCTATACATCCATTCAAGTTGATCCATGATACTTTACAGACTGAAACTGAAACATCACTGTTAAGACTGCATTCATTCCTCACTTGTCTGGCTGTTAATTTTGGATTGCCTAACAAAACTCTCATAATCCTTCAGTTTTTTTCCTAATACTCTCAATACTGTATCATTTTAAACCTCACTGTTAAAACTCTTCATTTGTCTGGATGTTAATTTTGGATTGCCTACTGAGACTTTCACAATCTTTCTTTCATCTCTCTTGTCTAACTTTTGTAGTCTTCTGGTTTTCTTTGTATTTAAAACATTTGCAGTAGTAGCAGATGTCTTTTGGATGGTTTGAACATTGTTTTTGGTAATTTCTAACCACCTGGCTATCTCTTCTTGAGTCATCTCCCCTTCAAAGTCACAACCTTTGTCCTTGTTTCATCAGAATTTTTACCATAATTTTAGTTTATAAAAAATCAAGCTACTGCTCAATTATAATGACTTACCAAGGCACTTTGCACCTATGTTGACAAGATGGAACAATTTCTACTTAGAAATTTGCATATTATCATGACTTTATCATCTCAGCTCTTTCATTGGCCAAATAGTTTGGCATGGCCTTTTTTAGCTTCAAGCTGCTTATTACACAGCACCTATGAAAATGACACA